GCTTTTTGGCTGAGGGTGTGGCCCGCAGCAGCAGCAGCAGCAGCAGGTGCAGCAGCAGCAGCAGCTGCAGCAGCAGCAGCAGGTGCAGCAGCAGCAGCGGGCTTGCTGCTGCTGCTGCTGCTGCTGCTGCTGCTGCTGCTGCTGAGGAACTGGCGGACGGCCTCTGCTGCGTCGAGGGCAAGCAGCGCGGGGGCAATGGGGGGAAAAAGCTGCGGAGTGAACTTTGCTGCTGCTGCCATGTTGCCTTTTATTTTCATTTTTCCTTGCAAAAAAGCAACTTGGGGATTTAATTCTCCCAAACAAATCTTGCAAAAAACTTCTTCTTCCAGCGCAAACGTCGCGTCCGCAGCGCCCCACACGCCCGCCTTCGCGCAGCCCTCTGCAGCAGCAGCAGCAGCAGCAGCAGCAGCAGCGGCAGCAGCAGGTGCAGCAGCAGCAGCAGCAGCAGGGGCGAGAGCACAGCAGTGTGTTTGTGCATTCAACTCGAGTTCATGTGTTCGGCATTGTTCCCATTATGGGGGGGGAACCAAGTGCTTGCTGCTTGCTGCCTGCTGCTGCTGCTGCTGCTGCTGCTGCTGCTGCTGCTGCTGCTGCTGTTCTGCGCTGCAGCGACGCCGCAGCGTCGCATCTCCAAGTCTCCCAAACGCCCAGGAAAACCAAAAAGACGAAAAGGGTTTAGGGTTTAGGGTTTAGGGTTTAGGGTTTAGAGAAGGGGCAAATACACTTAAAACTGAGCAGCTTTAATTTGCATTGGTTCGAGGGTTTTAGGGTTTAGCTGCTTGAAGTGTTTCGTTTATTTTGAATTTTAATTTGAAATATAATTAAAAAAGAATAAAAAAAAATATTTTGAAATATAATTAAAGAATAAAAGAAAAAAGAATTAAAAGACAAACCTCCGTCTTTGCGCAGGTCAATGGTCCACTGCAGCACGGGCTGCTGCTGCTGCTTAGCAGCAACTTCGAAGAGGAAGCAGCTGTTGACTTTTGTCTTTAGCTGCTGCGTCTTTTCTTTGTCAAGTTCCAAGTAAGCAGCAAGCATTTTGAAGATCTTTTCGGGTTTCGAGCAGCTGCCTGCAGCAGCAGCAGCAGCAGGAGCAGCAGCAGCAGCAGCAGCAGCAGGCGCTGCTGCGCCTTCTTCGCCGGCAGCAGCAGCCTTTCCTTCCGAGACTATTTGCTGCGACGCCTGAAGACGCGAAGCAGCAGCAAAAGGAAATTAAAATAAATAATTAAATAAAAGAAATAAATAAAACAAAAATAAATAATCAGCCACAGAAACAAATACAAGTTCTTGCATGTTTGCCTTTGCGGATGCAGCAGCAAGACATTCCAAATGGCCCAGTAGCAGCAAAAGGAAGCAGCAGCAAAAGAAAGCAGCAGCAAAAGAAAGCAGCAGCAAAAGAAAGCAGCAGCAAAAGAAAGCAGCAGCAAAAGAAAGCAGCAGCAAAATAAAGCAGCAAAATCAGAAGAAAGCAGCAGCAAATGAAACCAGCAGCAAATGAAACCAGCAGCAAAGGAAAGCGGCAGCAAAAGAAAGCGGCAGCTAATGAAATCAGCAGCAAAGGAAAGCAGCAGCAAACGAAACAGCAGCAGAAAGAGCAGCAGCAGACGAAAGCAGCAACAAACGAAAGCAGCAGCAAAAGAGAGCAGCTGTAAATACCAGCAGCCGCAAATTACAGCAGCAGCAGCAGCAAACGAAAGCAGCAGCAAACGAACGCAGCAGCAGACGAAACCAGCAGCAAACGAACGCAGCGGCAGACGAAAGCAGCAGCAACAACAGCAGCAGCAGCAGCAGCAGCAGCAGGAAGCTGCAGCAGCAGCAGCAGCTGTGAGTCCCACCATAATGAGGGAGTCCTGGAGGGAGTTTGGGTAAGAAACTTTGTCTTTGAAATCCAAAACAGTTTTCCATTCTTTGCTCAAGTCCTCCAAAGTGAAAGAAGGAGGAAATGTCTTTCCTTGACTTCGCTGCCACCGCACTGCAGCAACCCAGCCCGCCCCCACCTCGAACACCTGCGCAGCAGCAGCAGCAGCAGCAGCAGCAGCAGCAACAGCAGCAGCAGCAGCAGCAGCAGCAAATTCAAATGGGGTTCAAAAAGTGCGTAGAAGTCCATTTTGAAAGCAGCTTTTTGCACTTTCATCCTCGAAAGCCGCGTTTCTCAGCCCCATTTGCAGAAATTAATTTATTTATTTTTAATTTAGTTAAAAATAAATAAATTAATTTCGAAATTAAATGAAATTAAATTCGTGAAATTAAAATCGAAGTGCAGCAAACGGGGTGGAGATGCAGGCGGGGGTTTGCAGGCCGCTGTGCATGCATTTCTGAATTTGCAAAACCAGCAAATGGCTTTTAAAAACTTCTTTTTAATCTTCTGGAAGTTCTCATTTAATTATTTTAAATGCATTTAATAATAATATTTGAAAACAAAAAAGAATTATTAAAATTGAATTGCGGAATTCATCAGATCATCTCGAATTCAACTTCCGGGAAAGTTCGGAAACCTGAA